GCTTTTCTTTTTCTGAGGACTTTATAACCTGTCCAGCTGAAAAATTGGGAAAGCACTGAAAGAAAAAAACTTCTATGAAATGTTCCCCCCCCCCTTTGGAATGAGTGGGACACTTTTAAAGACAAGGTACTTCTTACATACAGGGGTCATTTCATAGAAAAAGAGGTTCAGGAGCTTATTAGCATAACTTATTTGCATATGCCACACCCCCTGACATCACCAGAAGTGTGTCAGAAGGCAACACCCACCACTCAGGCTCCACTGGACTGTTTTGGATTGCTAGCTATGGGGGGCAGGGGGGACACACAGACTCCTTTGGGTAGAAGAAGAAGAAGAGAAGAGATTGGATTTATACCCCGCCCTTCACTACCCAAAGGTGTCCTAGAGCGGCTTACAAACTCCTTTCCCTTCCCCTCCCCACAGCAGACACCCTGTGAGGTAGGTGGGACTGAGAGAGCTCTGACAGAAAGTGCTCTTTTTCAAGAACAGCTCTTATCAGAACTACAGCTTGCCCAAGGTCATCCAGCAGGTGCAAGTGGAGGAGTGGGGAATCAAACCCGGTTCTCCCAGATTAGAGTCCGCGCACTTAACTACTACACCAAACTGGCTCTCAAACTGGGTAGTGAAAGGCAGGGTATAAATCCAATTTCTTCTTCTCTCTTCCTCTAAAGCCAGGTACCAGAAATATTTTATCACTGACTGTGACCCATACCCTTCCTCAGCAGAGCTTGGGGCCAGTTTGGTGTAGTGGTTAAGTGTGTGGACTCTAATCTGGGAGAACCGGGTTTGATTCCCCACTCCTCCACTTGCACCTTGCTGGACGACCTTGGGCAAGCCGTAGTTCTGATAAGATCTGTCCTTGAAAAAGAGCAGTTTCTGTCAAGATCTCTCTCAGCCCCACCTGCCTCACAGGGTGTCTGTTGTGGGGAGGGGAAGGGAAAGGAGTTTGTAACCCGCTCTGAGACACCTTTGGGTAGTGAAGGGCGGGGTATAAATCTAGTCTCTTCTTCTTCTTCTTCTTCTTCTTCTTCTTCTTCTTCTTCTTCCTGGCTCTCCTCACCCCTTTTGGTTGCCAACTCTATGTTGGGCAATCCTTGGAGATCTGGGGGATGGTCTGCATTTGGGGAAAGGACCTCAGCAGGGGGTATAACCCTAATATAGATTCTTCCAGTCCACCTTTGGACTGGTTTCCCCCCTAGTTGCTCACGGGCCAGATAAGAGCCCTGGATGGGCCTGTTCCAGTTCCCGGGCCATATGTTTGACATGTAGGGTTGACAGGTCCAAATCAGGAAACATCTGGGGACTTTGGGGGGGGAGCCAGGAGACTTTGGGGGTGGAGCCAGGAGAAAGGATCACAAAAGTGATGTCACATCCTGTGATTTTACTTCCAGGTCCACTCCCCACATCCAGAAGGTTCCTGTGACTCCATGGTAGGAGCTTGTGTTTCTAACACAGTGGTTGTTCTCCACTCATTAGCCGCCCAGGCGACACACGCCGGTACTCGTTTAGGGTTGCCAGGTCAGGCTGACAAGCCAGCAGGGGACTTTCCAGGAGCCTCCAGGAGAGGAGAGGGAAGAAGCACGACTGAATTCCAAAGGGAGTTCTGGCCATCCCATTTAAAGGGACCGTGTTCCTTTTAAATGCCTTCCCTCCATTGGAAATAATGGAGGATGCGGGCACTTTCTTTTGGGGCTCATAGAATTGGACTGACTAGTCCAATCTTTTTGAAACTTGGAAAGTTTTTTAAGGGGAGGCACCAGCAACTATGCTGAAAATATGGTGCCTCTACCTCAAAAAACAGCCTCCCCCCAAGTCCCAGATACCCACAGATCAATTCTCCATTATACCCTATGGGAACCAGTCTCCATAGGGTATAATGGAGGGCCCAATGGACATTTCCCCCTCCCCCACTTTCTGATAACCCTGAAAGCAGGGTGAGGACCTCCAAACGAGGGGACCCCCTGCCCCCAACTGGGGATTGGCAACCCTATTGACATGCCTGCCCTAGAGAGCAGATGCTAGTCAGAGCAGGAAACACTCACATTGAGAGACCAATGGTTTTGCCCACTCTAAGGAAGCTGCGTGAGTGTTCAGGTGTTCAACTAAGGCCAGCCAGATGCTCTAAGAAATACAGAGGTGCACCCTCAGCTATCATGGTGAACAGCATTATCCTCTGTGAACCCTACCTAACGTCATCTAAACTGGTTGCCAACACCACTGCCTTATAGTAATGAATGGAACAGCCTTGTCCGTTTTTGTTGTGGCCCTGATACACACGCCCACGGAACCCAGTGGGGGAACCCCACCCACCCCATGCACTAAACAGGCTCTTGACACAAGGGTCTTTGTCATCTGCTGCCAGTGTTCCCTCTAAGCTGAGTGAGTGTGAGCTAGCTCACAGTTTTTTAGCCTCCGGCTCACAGATTTTTGTCTTAGCCCAGGAAGGATGGCTCCAGAGCAAACTAATTCATGCAGCAGCCAAATCGCTCGCTCACAACTTTAATGCCAGGAGATCACCAAGTCGAATTTTTGCTCACAGGACTCCACAGCTTAGAGGGAGCCTTGTCCGCCGCCGTTCAAAGTTAAGTCACCCAGAGTTAAGAATTCATCAGGGGAAAGGAAATAGCACGAGGCAGAACAATATCCCTTTCCTTGTAATTAATACCCACGGTGCAAGTTAAAACCAACCTTACACGGCAGCACTTAGGTAAATAAGAATCCACCGCGGCATAGCCATCAGAATAGCCGCGGGGCATATGGCAGTCTGTGAAACCGGCACGGGAACAAAAGACCACTCTGACCTTGATGCCATCAAATGCAATGTCCTCTCCCTGAGAAACGAACACTGTCGTTTTCAAGGGGAGTTGGAAAGGGCTATCAGCACCAGGCTAATAACAGAAATAGCTGGAAACTGTTTCCGATTTAGCCTGCCTCGAGCTGATCGGCTAGAGATTTTTCTCCTGCCTAACGTAACGTTTGCCTGCCATGATTTCAAACCTTCACATCGAACCTGAATCCGCACGTTAAAAACCCGTCTCATCTGGGAGAGGTTAAGTCAAGTTCAGTTTCCTTGCATTGGCCTTTCAGCCGCCAGAGGTGAACGGCCCACCCACACATTTCAGTCTCCGTTTTCACAATCTTGACACCAGAGTCACACCTTTGCTCATGTTACCTATAAGCTCCTCCAGGTGACTGCGCGGGTGTCAGCTGTGGGGTACTCACAGGCGGCTGGCAGACGGTGTGGGATGCGAGTAAACACCATTGAACTAATGACTGGCCTGCACCACGGAATCATGGGAAGGGGCTTGTAGTGTATCCAGCCCTGACAGGGCCGGGCATGTCCGGACTTGTCCAGGGACCAAACCTGAAGCTTCACATCTAAAGACAATGGGCCAGAAGGATCCTAGCCGGCCCTATCAGAGGGTTAGGTCCCAAACCGTGAGGCCAATAGGTCTCTCGGTTACTGTAAATAGCCTATCGGGAAGTGGGCTGGGTGTTTAGGTGGTGGGTTCTGAGGGAATATAAACCAGCCTGCGAGCCGGCCCCAGCGTCTTGTTCCTGACTAGATAAAGGTATGTTTAGCTGAAATCACTCTCCGTATGCATACTTTTCAGGGCTGTAGCTCAGTGGTACAGCATCGGCTTTGTCTGCAGGCCCCAGGTTCAGTCTCTGGCATCTCAATTTACACAATCTCAGTTTGCTCAGTCAGGCAGCTCTGAGCCCAATGGACAGACCGACGAGTTACGGCAGTTTCTGTCTTACGTGCAATAAAGCCCTCTGACCCTTACTCTCTCCCTTTGTCCTCACACCCACTTTACATGGCTTTCCACGGAGACACATGTCTCTGCAGGTCTCTCCTGGAGAGACGATGCCCTCATACTCCCGCACACACACGATGCCGGATGATCTGGCCATTTGTGAGAGGGAAAGTACTCTCTAGGTTAGGCTTCTTCGTCTCCTTTCGACTGCAACCTGAATGTGAACTGGATCTACTCTAATGAATGTGTTATGTATTGAGCCTAAGCCATCCCCAAGAACAATAGCTGACCAGGATCCTGGAATTGACCGATAGATAAGCAGTGTAATGTAAATAGCCTATCCTTGGGAGTGGGCGGTGTGGGGTGTTTGCATGCTTTATAAGCAGGGCTCAAACCCTGTTGGGTGTCATTGTTGTGTTCCTGAAATCACTAAATAAACTAGAGCTGATCATTGCAATGTGTCCAGAACCCAGTATTTAACAGAATGTAAGTTTACCTTTTTTGCAATATACTTCTTGGGATATTTATCTACTGCTCTCAGTATCACACTTCTATGGCTGGGCAAAACTCCGCTATATTAACCAAATATCCTAATAATAATAATAATAA